GAAATTATTAAGTATTAGATTGAACAAGTGTTCAGTTCATGTTTAACCTTAGAGTAAAATTATATTCGAGTGATTTTTCAACCTCTTGGCCTGCTTTTGAATTTATCACTGGTAAGTAAGAGAAAACTTACTGTTTTTTGGTAAGACTCAATTAAGGTGCCCGTGTCGTGATTTCTGGGGATTTAGTTCACTTAAACAAATTGCCATAGTAAAGGATTTTCAATAATACAGGAGCATATACATTATGCATAGACATTCTACACTATGAAGTGGCAAGTCTGAAAATGCCATAGATTTCGAGAAATCAATCTGATTGTGCGAATAGCCAGCGGCGGAACAGTAACGTGCTTACTAACAACCAGTCAGAAACCGCCGCATGCTATTGGCACACCCAATTTAAGTTCGCCGAAACTATAGGGTTTTCGAAGATGCCATTTTAATGGGGAGTTAGTCTAATCAATTTGCACCTTCCCGTGAGACGTTGCACGTAGCATTTTGTTTAAGTGGGCGAAATGGCAAAGTCATTGACGATCGCCGATTTGCATTTTTTGCAGGTTTACGCGACATAAAACACGCAACCGCACTTTAGCATATTTTGGCGTTCCTCGGTGTTCCTGAAGAATAAAATAACATCTTAAGAGTATATCATGCAAATGCCACCCTATAGGGTTAGTCGTAGGCGTTTGTTTCCTATAGACACTTCAGATTTAACAAATGGGTATTTTTGTTCGGCGAACCAGCTCACAACACATTTTCCTCATGGACATCATATTACATTAAGTGCAATAAAGTTAGATAACAGCACAAACTTGCAGTGACAGGGAGAGGGCCATCTGTGGATGATTCTTTTTCCCAGGTATGCATTACTAGCTTGTAGGTTACACAGTGTTACGAGATAGCTGTGGGCCTCTTTCCTATTATAACTATGACGTTCTTTAGGTGGTGACCATCACAAAGGGCTCACCACGATGACGGTAGCCGTTGTCACTCACCTCGACTACCTATTGTAGATGCTCGATCCGTGTCTATGTGCGATGCTGATTACGGTTCCCCACATATGCGCAGCAGCCCAATCCAACGAGGCCCCTTGTACTCGTATCTCTACTAGTTTCCACTCATCTCGAATACCTGTTGTAACCGCTAGGCCCGCGTTCATGTGCAACGTTGATAATGAGACTGCACCTATACACAGTAACATAATCCGATGGTCAATGACGGTCTTTTATACCCCTAACTATCCGCGATGCCGCTTGTATTCGCTAGCTACAGTAAACATCAGCACAATATATATGCCGACCGGTAATAATAAAGCCTCAGCTATGCGTGATAGCCACATCTGACGGCTTGTTATACTCACAATTGTACTCGAATTTATCTAACTTGGGTGTTCATCGTACTTTTTGAGTCAGTGTCCTTGTGCATACATACCTAATCTAATGGCGAACGATGGACCTAATAATCAAAACCGTACGCGATATCGCCTATTTTAACTACTTATTGAAACTGCTAGGCCAGTGCCTATATGCGACGCTGTTTATCAGGCCTCAGCTGTGCGAAATGCCCTGATTTAACTACCAAAGATGGCCCGTCATACCCACAAATGTGCGCACTCTCGCTTATGTCTGCTACTTATATCATCATGGAGAGCACGAAATCGGTGTTAAACAGCGATCTTCACTGCCGTACCTGCCTGCTACCTACAGTAAACACCAGGCCAGTATGGATGCGAGCCGATAGAAACAGGTTCCAGCCATGCGGAACATCTTAATCTGACTGCCAACGACGGCCCGTCATACTCGTAACTGCACTTGATATCGCCTAACTGCGCTGCTTATCGTAATTGCAAGACCTGTGTTTGTGTGCAACATTGAGTATAAGGCTGACGGTCTTTCGTACCACTAACTATAGGCGACGCCGCTTATCTTCACTACCTACAGTAAACATCAATCCAATA